TAGCATTCAACAGATGGTTAACCAAGATAATCAATTACTTCATTTTACAGCCTCATGACACTATTGTCTAAGATACATTTTACTTTCCAACTTAATCAACATGGCTCAGAACCTGGCGAACTTACAACAGGGAATTATATATATCATATTCACATTCTTCCAATATCAGCAAACAAATGAGACTCAAGCTCAATTCAAAACACTTCATACTTCCAGATTGAACACATTTTAGTGTGTATCAATAAAACACTTCTATATAAATAAGCACACATAAGTGATGCTAATGGAGTCCATCCCCTATCTCCTCCCAAACAAAAATCCGGTTTAGAGGTCCATCCCCTATCTTCCCCTAAACCTGGAGTACATCCCCTATCTCCTCCCACACAAAACAATGTATGCAAATGCAATGCTCAATCAATACACGTATTTATTTAAATTATCCAACTACGCCATTTAATCAATGAATTTCCCCAATTCCATGAATTAAACTATCTTTTCCCAACTCCATGAATTAATTTTACAAATTAATTTAATATACAACTAGGGTTTTTTCCCAGAATTTACCAAAGTATCCCCAACATATCAAAATACCAAAACTTAGAACAAAACTTATAGAATGGAGTAGGAAATCCCTACCTCGAAGAAAACAACTCAAATGGTGAAGACAGAGATGAGTGCCCAAATACCAAAGTGCTCCAAATCGCCAAATGTTCAGATTAAATGGAAGCCCTCGACTCACTCTATCTTTTTAATGAAGGATCTAGGGTAGAAACACTCCCTAAGTGGATCAAATCTAAGAGAGAAGGTGAGTAGGGAGAGAGAGAAGTCGGACCTAGGGTTTGGAATCAAAAAGAAGATAAAAAGGACTGATCAAATCCCGCTGCTGTGTATATAAACTGGACAGGCTCGTTCGAGCGAAGCCTTTGTCGCTCGAGCGACCAGACACAGAAAAACTACGCTCGAGCCAAGGAAACCTTGCTCGAGCCAACAACCCAAAAGCTTGAAGAACTCAAATCCTCAGGTCTGTAATCAGACTCACGCTCGAGCGAAGGAACCATCGCTCGAGCGAAGAACAAACTAACTCGCTCGAGCGAAGAAAATCTCGCTCGAGCCAAGAATGCAGAGCTACAGGTCAATACTGGACGCCATCTCTCGCTCGAGCGATCTCTCGCTCGAGCGACCAACTCCTCGCTCGAGCGAAGAACCAAAATCCTGGACAGCAACACTTGGTTTCTAAACCCAACCAACCTGAAACAAACCTGCCCAACACATCCTATAATTCCAAATGAGAAAAAAAAAGACAACAACAACAATTATACAATGACAGAATCTACGGAACTTGAGTCCGGATACAATAATCAAATGGGAAAAGACCGGGGTCGCTATACCTGTGGTTTTACTTTGTTCCTTCCCTCTATGAAGCACTTAGGGGCACTTTGGGAAGAGGTTAAAAAGCCAGCTTTTTTATTTTTTAACTTTTTTAGTCAAAAAAGTCAGTTTTTTTACTCAAAAGAAGCCAATTTTTTGTCAAAAAAGTCAAAAAGTCAACTTTTTACCAACTTCTCAAAACGCCACTTATAATGGAAATGGAGAATCCAAACTTTTTAATAGGACGATCATGGAAGCCACACTAGATGCTGATACCAACCTCGTGGCCTTACTTTTTAGTTACTATAATAATGCCTTTTTTTAATTTTTTTTTAAAAAAAAGTAAGTTTTTTTTGTTAGGTTGTGTTTGACTTTTGAATTTGTAAAAAAAGTTATGAAGAATAATGAAAAATAGGAAAGGAAAAAAAAATTCTACTTTATTTATTTATATTGAGTTTTGTAAGTACGATTACTTCTTGATTGCAAATGTAGTTTTCAAGGTGTGTTTGGTTACGAGGCTTTGTGGGATTTGGTTGTGAAATGAAGTGATTTTGATTAGAAGGCTTTGTGGTGTTTTATTATGAGCTGAAATTTTTGTGGTGCTTTTGTAGTGAATTACTTTGGCTTTTTTTATGATCTAAATTTGTAGAAGTTATGAATCATTGTGATAGAAATTTTTAATGCATGCTTTATGTATCTTTCAGGAGTGTGTATAGTTTCAAGAATTTTGTTGGTAGATTCTACTGGTTCATGATTTTTTTTAATTTTTATTTATTTTTTGATTAAAATATGATATCCATAAAATTATGATTGTTTCTTCTCTTTAATGATTACCAATTATCAGTGCCGCTGATGCTGGCATTTTTAGCTCATCAAAACATTCAAGTATGAAAAAATTGTCCAACATAAATCCACTAGTATAGATAAACTTAACAAATATAAAAGAGACCCTAAACACACATAAGAAACAAAGACCGAGATATACACAAGTGAAAAGAACCAAATTCAAGCTCTCTTACAGAGATGCATACACTCTTTGCTAACGGGTTAACTCATCAAATCCGAGTCAGACATTGATCCACTCCATCTTACATCCCAAGGAGGATAGCTCTGTCCATCAATAGAGAAGATGTTGTTGTAAGAACTAGGTTCGGTCATAGATAACTCAACACCAATCTCGATATGAGTCTCCCAAGTCTCCTGAAATTGCAATGCCAACTGGAGACTCGTTACCACATCATCCATCGAGGGTCGGTGTCTTGCCATATAAAGAGTACAGCTCATTGCCATCTTGACAAACTCCTTGAAGCATTCTGGTGACGGAGTTGTCGGGTGACACTATCTGGAAGTGGTTCCCAAAATGAATAATTTGGAAGTGGTTCCGAAAATGAATCATTTGATGGTCCACTCTCAAAACCATTGTCCTTTCTTTCCCTCCACCAACGATTCATACCTTTAGGCACAGTTGCAATACCCTGAAGCACCTTTCCGATTATTCCCTTTGATCGTCATTTGCGTTGTGACAACAATGCAAGATCAAGAGTCTCCACCACTTCAGCCATTGTAGGCCTTTCCTTTGAATCAGTATGTAAACAATTGTAGGCAACTTCTACAAAGTACTTTAGACTTTGTGGTGTTATTTGCCCAATCAATGAGGAATCAATAATTCGATCAACGTTTCCCTTTTTAATGTGTCGTTGAGCCCAAAGGATTAGACTAATTTCCTCCTCCTCGAGACTTTTATCCACAGGCCGCCTCCCACAAAGCACTTCCAACAACACCACACCAAAGGCATACACATCAGATTTCTTGGTTAGTCTCTGGGTATGGAAATAAACTGGATCAAAATACCCAAATGTACCTTTGACTTTTGTGCTAACATGGGTTGCTGAATTGCTTGTACTGCCTTTGGACAGCCCAAAATCTGAAATCTTTGCCACCCAATTTTCATCCAACAGAATATTCGTCGTCTTCACATCTCGGTGTATGAAACTCTGATCGGTACCGGTATGAAGGTAGTCTAACCCTTCTGCTGCACCGATGCAAATGTTAAGCCTTTGCTCCCATGTTAGATGAAAAGTACTACTTTCAGTTTGGTTTCTACTTGTTTTATAGAGATGATCGGCTAGGGTCCCACGAGCCATGTATTCGTAAACAAGGATCATTTCTTGGCAGTCGCTGCATTGGCCGATCAGAGCAACAAGATGAGTGTGTCGGAGCTTAGACAACATCTTGACCTCAGTCCAGAACTCCTCTGCGCCTTGTTTGGACTCTGCTTTCAACCTCTTTATGGCAACAGCTGTAGCACCGTTGTCGATGAACCCCTTGTATACCTTACCAAATCCGCCACTCCCAATAACTAATTCTTCATTAAAATTGTCGGTGATTGATTGTATCTTAGCTAGTGAAAAGCAACGGCATGATTCAATCACAACGCTTGAAATTGCATCATCACCACTTAAACCAGACATATCTTGGCATGAGTACTCAGATTCAATCACAACGCTTGGAATTGTATCATCAGCACTTAAACCACACATATCTTGGCATGAGTACTCAGATTCAATCACAACGCTTGGAATTGAATCATCAGCACTTAAACCAGACATATCTTTGATATTTGGGAGCCTAAATATATCAAAGAATATACCAGTAACACTAGAAGAAGATGATCAAAAAAGATGAGTTTTTGAGAGAGGAGAAAGAAACATTGAGTGGTCTCTGATTGAAACAGGAGTTGATCTAAGGCGCGGTCAATGTACCACACCACCGACGACTTGATTTAGGCGATAGAGCTCAACAGTCGGTGTGTGGTGTGTGATTTCAGTGTGGACCCCATCAACAACCTTACAGCGTGATCATGCGCCTTGTGAAACCGTGCTAGCCGTCGGGTACAGAAATGACTTTTAGTTTAGAATTTTCAAAATTTAATTCGTACTATTTTGTTATGAGGGCTCAAGTTATAAATATGATTTTTGATTTTATTTAGAAATTCTTTCACGTGCTAAATTTTTAAGGAAGAAATGGAAAAATTTTAAAAAAAATTACAAAAATATGCAGAGTGGAAGTGATTTTGTAATAGGATGAAAGTGAAATGTTGGTGCAAGTCATATTAAAAAAAAAAAAAAAAACAACAAAACACCTATGGGCTATTGGGATGTGACTCCCCCAATTTTTAAGGCCATTAGGACATATTTCTTTTGATATTTTTCAAATAAAATTAATATTAAATATAATTAGAAAAATTTAAAATCTCATAATTTGAGTTTTATAGATTTGTTTTTAATAAAATTCATATATGTATATTCATTTCTTTTGATATTTTTCAAATAAGATTAATATTAAATATAATTTTAAAAAAAAGTGAATAAAATGATTTTTTAAGCAATCAAAACAGCAAAGTATGAATTTTTTGCAAAAGTAAATGCTCAAAATTGCCTTCACCAATTTTAGATGGATAGATTTTGAAAAAGGATAAATCAGTAAAACATCTCTCTCCAACTTTTGGTAGTAGTAGAGATTCGATATATTTTTTCTTATTAGTTAAGGTTCCTTGATAATATTATGAGCTAAAATTTTTCTGTGAAATTGAAATTTCTCTATAAAATTTTACTTCAAACCCTTTACTGAAATTTTTCTGTGAAATATTGAAGGACATTAACTATTATGAAAATATTATGTTCGTTGTCTTATAAAATCTTAATACCATGACTTCAAACTAAAATCCTTCGAAAAAATCAATGAAATAGAAAATATATCATTCAAAACGGACTTGTAAAAATATGACATGTTGAAATTTTAAAATCATAAATGATTTGTTTTTAACTTTAAGCTTCAAGTACCTATTTGTTCAAATCAGGGCAACAAATAAGTTAAAACAATTTGAACAAATAAATAAAAATCTTAGGACAAATAAATTAAAATAATTTGGATAGATATGTTAAAATATGGGGAGATAGGTTAAAATAATTTCAATTGATAAATAAAAAGGGTTTGGCTTCCCTTAAGTTGTGATCTCAGTTTGAGAGAGTATTTGAATTTGATAAACTCATTTTAAAATGAATTTCGATGATCCAAAACTATTAAACAGATACCCAAAATTATGAATATTTTAATTTCAACCAGTGAACATGAAAATTAATATCCATTAACAACACTACAATTTATCAAACTACATACACGTAGCATAAGTGATGATACAAAATTCAATCTCTTAAATCTTAGAAATATATATGATCAAATATATTTGATGCATTTTTTTTTTAATTTTTTTTATTGAAATAGGAGTTAATCAAGTAAGTAGCGGTCAATGTAGCACGCCGACATGACTCAGGCAATGGAGTTCAACAATCGGTGTGGTGTGATTTCAGTGTGGACCCATCAACAATCATTTCGTCTCCTAAATTTTTACCTATTTTTTAATTTAATTGTTAAATTTTGATTAATATTAATTTTACATCTAAATTTTTAAAATTTTGATCGATTTGATCATTGCCGTCACATTTCGTCAATAATTAGATAAAATGTGGTGACGTAAGGGTAAATTGATTTTTAAGGTATAATTTGATGGGTAAATTGATTTTTAATTTGGGGAGTAAATTAATTTTTAAGGTATAATTTGAGAGATAAAATAAAATTTCAAATGAACTTTGTGCCACATTAGTACATTCCGTCCAATTATAGACGAAATGTGACAGCAATGGTCAAATTGATCAAAATTTTAAAAGTTTAAGTGTAAAATTAATATTAATTAAAATCTGAATGTCAAATTAAAAAACACTTGAAAATTTGGAGGACAAAATATTTCCTCTATATCCTTTTAGTAGTGATGTTTAATGTAGAATTAAAATTATTAATGCAGTATTGTTATTATTATTATTATCGGCGGGAAAAGGTCAAGCACAAAAAAATAATATAAAATTTGACTCTTTTTAGCCATCTCTTTATACAGAACAACAATGTTACAGACCACTAAATTCCTACCACTAACACCACCACTAATGATGTGGAAAAAAAAAAAAAAAAAAAAACTAAGACACAAAATACATGTGGCAGTGGGTGGGACCCACTTCCACATAATTAAAACAACCACTAATTAGTGGTCTGCATCATTTTTCTATACAAAAAAATGTTAGAAGTTGACTAACGAGCACCCACCATTATTCTAAATCTACCCTTCAGACCTCCAGTCCTACAACCTTCCTCGGGTAGCTCCTCCTCCTGTCACCCTGCCCCAGTTCCCATTTCCTATGGCAAATCCTTTTCTCTATTGGTGACCCCCTCTCTCCTCTTCCTTGACAACCATCATCTCCATTGAAATTATAAAAGCACGTTTGATCAGTAGTATTAAAGCATAAAATTGAAATTGTTAATTTATAAGTTCGTAATCTTATGTTTAATTGTAAATTTTATTAATCAAATTACATGTACGAGGAACATTTAATTCGACGAAATCAGCGAATTTTTAACATTAAGAGGGGGCTAAGGATCATAATTTCAAACATGAAAGAAAAATAAAATAAAATGAATACATGATAAATGGTTACCTCACTAATTTTATTTGAGAACTAATTGTACACTAATTCATAGGATTATTAATCATTTTACTATTAATCCTATTAATCAAACAAGACCTAAGAAAATTTAATTTCGAATAGGAGCTCTTAACAGATTGATGGACTCTATCAAGTATGGCAGACATTAATAATAATAAAACACAACTCACTCATCTATATAAAACAAAGCTTGTAGATATGTACGACCTGAAGGTCGTACATAGCTCCTAAGGAGACACAAATACCTCAATAAAAACTCTATATATTTAAATTTCTTTTTTTCCTTTCTTGTTTTGTCTTTATTGTATTGTTACAATGATCACTAACCTCTTTACAGAGAAGACTTTTTACACTCACCAAATACATTCATGTAGTTTCCTAATTACATTCACCAAAACACATTGAAGTTAACCAAATGACACTTCAAACTTTAAGATTCTAATACATAAACTAAACATTTTAATGTATCTAACATTAATTCTAAATTAAATTCCAACAAATTCCTCCTTAATTTTGAATTTCATCACTCCATGTTTTCACCAATGATTCTTCACTAGGATCAAACACATCTTTCAGCTGCTTCTTCAAGTTTTCATTTTCAGCAATTTTTTTCATGTACGAGTCACACAAATCTGCATACGAGCTCTTTAAAGTAGATATTATAGCAATTCTAGTTTAGACCTGACCCATTTGGTGTTTTGGATCTGGATTTCATTGTCTTATATGGTTGTTCATGTCTTGTTCATCTTGTACTTCATTAAGTTTGGTTAGTGAAGTGTCTTGTTGGCGTTTGAAACAGCTTGTTCATGTCTTTTTGGCCTTTTCGCTCGAGCGTAAAGCGGTGGTCCTCTGCTTGTAAAAATTTTGAGAGTTGGTATTCTTTGCTTGAGAGGTTACTTTGTGCACTCGAGCGGTCCCACTTATTGTGTCTGGTTGCTCAAGCGACATTTCTTGTGCTTGAGGGGTTTGAGCGTATATCAGCTCGTAAAAGTCACTTTTTGGGTCACTTTTTCATCTCTCTATCTCTAAACATTCTAAAACCCCTAAATCCAGAGCCTCTCTCTGTAGAACTCACATTCTCTCTACAAATACAGCTAAATCCCTTCATTTCTTCACCCTAGTTTCCTTGTCAAAAACGCAGAGCTTGACGAGGGCTTCCATTTAATCTGAGCGGATCGTCTTTTCATTGTCAGCGGTTTTTTCGGCTTGTCTTCTCTTCACTTTAAGAGGTAGGGTCTATTTCTTTAACTCGACGTAAGTTTGTTGGTGTATTTGTGGTATATTTTGATATATAGATCTTGTGATGCTTATATTGATTTTTGGGGTATATTTTGTGGGTTGAAGATTTGTTCAAATTGGGGGTTGTTGGTTATGATTTTGCTATTAAAAAGTATTCTTGGTATACAAAACTTGCATATGATTTTGTAAAAGAGAAAAACCCCAATTTATAGAAGAATCCTAAATGAAGTTGATTTTGGGAATTTGGGTAGAATTATGGAAAATGGATTTGGTTGGAAAAGTATGTTGATGTTTTGGAAAAACACCGAGTATTAAATACTCTTTTGGAAATGTTCTAGAAAAGTGATTGTTGAAATTGTTGGATTGTATATTCGTATTGTTGTCTTTTAATTATTGCATTAGAGATAACTATTTTAGTAATCAGTAGAGGATAGCATTGCCGTCTGTTAGAAATTTCATGTGGATTAGGCAAATTAAAATCATACATGTCATGTGCACGTTATGGATTTTGAAATGGATTTTGGAACTGGAACTGTGTATTTTCGAAAAGGTTGTTTTGGAAACTCTCGTATTATGTGTTGGAACATTTGCATTATTTTGGAAAACAATATTTTGGATCATATGTATTGTGCTATCGGAAAAAGGTAAATAAAGTGATAAAGCTATGAGGGGGTGTTAAAGTCGAATTAAGTTGGCTTGTGTGTCCATGGTGCAAGAAGTAAACCTGCGCAATAGCTGTCGAGCCTTCTAGTTAGTGCCGGCAAAAATGACCTTGTAACTTGTATAGTTACTCGTATGAACATCAGCCCTGGAGATTTATTCATTTTATTTATTATCATTTTGGTTTTGGAACAGGATGTTTGGTTATGGTTTTAGCAATGTATTTGTTCGCTAGTATTGAGATACGTAGATTGGTTTTTGAAAAGAAATTTTATATCTACCAGATGTTTTGAACTCGAAAAGCATTTTGATTAAACGTAAGGTT